TTACCTATTTCGCGCCTAAATCTAAATTTGTCTAATTTAAAACCATTGTTACGAGTTCGCTCCTGGTTGGATAGTTCGAGTACCTTTGTAATGGCAGAAGGGACCTTTATGCTAGGGATGGGGTGCACCTGTCTAGGGATGGAGTAGCAACCCTGGCTGAGGCTCTAGAGGGGGCAGTTCAAAAGATATCGAAGTCTTTAAACTGCTAGGAGAACATATGAGCACGGGGGTGGAGGAGACTGCAGTGGGAGCCGGTAAACAAAGTGAAAGATTACAGGGAAATAGTGTTAGGAATGATGACAAAACTGAATTAGACAGGGAGTTTAAAACTAAACGCGGAAAGGGGAGGACTCAGAACACCACTAACTTAAATGTATACTACGCAAACAGTAGAAGTATGAGAAACAAAATGGATGATATTAGGGCCTTGGTATGTACCGATAAAATCGATATAATTGCATTCACTGAAACATGGATCAACCTAGACACACGTGAGTTACCAGTCGAATACCAAATTGCGGGTTACAAACTGTTCCATACCGATAGGCAGACCAGGAAAGGAGGCGGAGTAGCAATCTATGTTAGGGATAATCTGAAGTATGAAATAAATAAGGAAATAAAAACTGAGCGGAATACAGAAACAATTTGGATAGAATTAATCAACGGTAGAGAAAAATTAATCACAGGAGTAATATATAGACCTCCCAATCTTGATAGAGTCAAAGAGCGACTTATCTGGGATGAAATGCGCAGGGCTTCCATACACAACAAAGTCTGTATAGTAGGCGACTTTAACCTTGGCCAAATAGATTGGACTGACCTTACAGGTAACTCAGAATCAGAAGATTTTCTCGAGACTATCCAGGACTGTTTTCTAAGTCAACATATAACTGAACCCACAAGGGGTAATAATATACTCGATTTAGTTCTGTCAAACAGAGAAAACCTCATTAGCAGGGTCGAGGTAGGGAACGAATTTGCAAACAGCGATCACAAAGAAATTTGATTCCAGTTAGACTTTCAGGGCAGACGTAAGGAAAATTCCACTAAAGTACCAGATTTCAGAAGGGCGAACTTTGACAGTTTAAAGAGGCAGCTGAGAGAGAGGGTGTCGCGCTTGGCCGTGAACCTGACAGATGACAACGACCTGATAACGAGATCTGAGATTGCCGAGTTCCACGACAATTTAAATAGTGAGTTACTTAATGCACAAAGGCAGAACATACCATACAAAAAACTCAGATCAAACAACAATGACCCTAAATGGATTAATAATTATTTAAGGAACATCATTGGCCAAAGGAAGGCTATAGGTAGAAGGATAAATCATGGCAAAATTCACCTCCGGGACTATTATAGGGTATTGGCGAGTAGGGTTAAAACCGAGATAAGGAAAGCAAAGAGGAATAATGAGGTAAGGATAGCAAGGGAGGCGAAGACAAACCCCAAAGGATTCTACCAAATGTATCAAACTAAAACACGAGAAACGATTGGACCAATACGGTCAGACACCGGCGAGCTCACTGATAAATCCACAGAGAAATGAGCAATAATCGAATGAATATTTTCAACCGCTTTCACCACCGGCAAATTTAAACATGATACCCGAGGCAATCACTCTATTCAGGAGATAGTGTGAAGAAAACAACCCAGTATAGTAGTGACTAGTAATCCATGTTAGTGCTAAATAGACAAACTAAAAGCCTCCACAAGTCACCTGGTCCCGGCGAGATATTTGCCAGAGTATTAAAGGAATGTAAGGAAGAGCTTAGTATGCCCTTAGCAAAGTTGTTTAACATGTCCTAAAACAGGTGTAGTACCAGAATCCTGGAGGATAGCGAATGTAATACCGATTTTCAAGAAAGGGGATAGATCACTATCCTCTAACTACCGCCCAATCAGTCTAACATCAATAGTAGGCAAATTACTGGAAGCAATCATCTCAAACTCTATTCGAAATCACCTGGAGAAGCACAGATTGATCAATGATTCCCAGCATGGCTTCACAAGCGGACGCTCTTGCCTAACTAATCTATTAACATTCTTTTCATCAGTTTTCGAATCGGTGGACGAGGGGCACAATTATGATGTGGTACATCTCGACTTTAGCAAAGCCTTCGACAGAGTCCCCCACGAAAGACTAATTAGAAAGGTAGAAGCACATGGCATCAAAGGTGACATCCTTAAATGGATTAGGGCGTGGTTACAGGACAGGAAACAGCGAGTGAGCATTAACGGCACGAAGTCCCATTGGAGCAACGTCACAAGTGGAGTTCCCCAAGGCTCAGTACTTGGACCATTATTATTTATTATATACATAAACGACATAGATATCGGCATTGACAGCAACATAAGTAAATTTGCTGATGACACTAAAATAGGACGTGTTATCAAATCTGACTAGGACTCGGCAAAACTACAGGAAGATCTAAACAAATTTTCCAATGGTCTGAAAAAATGGCAGATGAAATTCAATGTCGACAAATGTAAAGTAATTCAGTATGAGATGTAAACAGGGAAACCAGATACCAGATGAACAAATGATGCCATAGAGAAACTGACTGCGAGAGAGATTTAGGAGTAATGATAAGTAGGAATCTTAAGCCAAGTAAACAATGTGTTTTTGCTCGTAGCAAGGCTATTACAGTACTTGGGTTCATACAAAGGAGTGTTAGTTACAAGACTAGCGAGGTTATCTTAAAATCATATCTAGAGCTTGTGAGACCTCACCTTGATTACGCAGTTCAGTTCTGGTCACCGTGTTACAGAATGGATATAGAATCATTGGAAAGAATCCAGAGGAGAATGAAAAGACTAATCCCGGGCATTACGAACCTTGAATACAGAGACAGGTTAAAGTGTCTAATTTGCACTCCCTCGAGAGACGAGATGAAGACCTTGATAGAGGTGTATAAGTGGAAGGCAGGGCTAAAACAAAGGGGACATTACAAAGGTACTCCAAATTATCCAACCAGGAGCGAACTCGTAACAATGGTTTTAAATTAGACAAATTTAGATTTAGGCGTGAAATAGGTAAACACTGGTTTGGAAACAGAGTAGTGGATGAATGGAACAAGTTACCAAATATCATCATTAACTCGAATACGCTGAATTGCTTCAAACATAGGTTGGATGCTCATATGAGCAATAGGGGTTGGGTGTAAATGGGACTGCACAGTATGGGCCAATAGGCCCGCTGCAGTTTCCTCCATTCTTATGTTCTTATGTTAGAAAGTGCCTTCTTTCTGGTGCTAATTAGCATAAATTATGCTAATTAGTGGGTTCAATACATAGAGACAAAGTGTCTTTGGAAAACAAATTTCCGCTTGCTCCAAGGAACACTTATGCCAAGTGGGACCTTTGCACTATGAAATGCAGTGTTCACTCCCCTAGCAAGTCTACTAAGGGACTCTGCATCAGGTGTGTGTGTGTGTGTGTGTGTGTGTGTGTGTGTGTGTGTGTTGTTAGGTTAGGTTAGGTTAGGTTAGAGCGGTTCGTCTTGTGATCATACTAACTTTATACATAGTGAAGCTTTTTATATTAACTTTGATATATTGGTGCAGGTGCCTTAATTATCTGGGAGGACTGGTACGTTACCTTGATGACTCTCTCTCTCTCTCTCTCTCTCTCTCTCTCTCGTAATAATAACAACACTAAACCACTGTTAGCCCCAGAGATCAATCCCTGAGTTTCCAGACCCTGCCGCGTGGAGGCCAGTGGTTAGAGGGTCCATTTTTGTCATATGGGGGTGGGGGGTCAAGGAGTATGGCCTCTCTGTAGTCAGAGTTGTAACAAATGTGGGGGTGGGGTCAAGAGAGTAAGGGCCTCTCAGAAGTCAGAGTTGCAACAAATGTGGGGGTGGGGGGGTCAAGAGAGTAAGGGCCTCTCAGAAGTCAGAGTTGTAACAAATGTGGAGCGACCACGTTTAACCAGGCACAATACCGCTGCGACCTCATCGCTTATAACATTTTGGGGCAGAACGATGGCTCTACGGGTTAGTGATAGGTACCGTATATTTTGACCCTGTCTGCCAATTATTAGGCCGTGATGGGCCTTAGGGATGAACACTGTTTGTGACACTGGCGTACTGAGACGCCGCCTTTCCTTTTCATAGGCCATCAAGGACTCTATATGATCCGCGGCATCCTGCACCAGGCCTTTATCTGGCCCTACAACCCGTAGGGGCTGGTCCTTGGACCCCTTCTGAGGAACAAAGACCCGTACTTTGTACTTTTCCTGGATCTCTTTTATGGTAGAGCCACCTGGGCCTACCACAACCCCTAACATGTTGTTAGGAGCAGTGATGGTCACTGTCGTAGTCACAGCCTTTTGAACCAGGGCTTTTATGTGATCCGCGGCGTCGTGGACGAGGCCTTTATCTAGCCCTACAACCCGTAGGGGCTGGTCCTTGGACCCCTTCTGAGGGACAGAGACGCGAACCTTATACTTTTCCTGAATCTCTTTTATGGTAGAGCCACCTGGGCCTACCACAACCCCTAACATGTTGTTAGGAGCAGTGATGGTCACTGTCGTAGTCACAGCCTTTTGAACCAGGGCTTTTATGTGATCCGCGGCGTCGTGCACCAGGCCTTTATCTGGCCCTTCAACCCGTAGGGGCTGGTCCTTGGACCCCTTCTGAGGCACAAAGACCCGTACTTTGTACTTTTCCTGGATCTCTTTTATGGTAGACCCACCTGGGCCTATCACAACCCCTAACATGTTGTTAGGAGCTTTGATGGTGACCTCCGTCGTCTCCTGCACCCACTGGCCCCTCATACGAGCCAGTTGGGGTGTCACTGTTGGTCCCATGGCCTTCTTCTCGGTCATTTTAGTGACGGGCTGGTGCTGGCGTCGTTCACTTTTAATATTCTGCATTATTCACTTTTATGACCAAACCAGACCACTGGACTCATGTGGTGTAAACATTATGTCAAGTGTAAGATAATGTAGTAAGAGGTTACCACAGTGAACCTCTTGTAGTGAACCTTTGTTATAGTAATGAACATGTTATTATAGTGAACCTCTTGTAGTGAACCTTTGTTATAGTAATGAACATATTATTGTAGTGAACCTCTTGTAGTGAACCTATGTTATAGTAATGAACATGTTATTATAGTGAACCTCTTGTAGTGAACCTTTGTTATAGTAATGAACATGTTATTATAGTGAACCTCTTGTAGTGAACCTTTGTTATAGTAATGAACATGTTATTATAGTGAACATGTTGTAGTGAACCTTTGTTATAGTAATGAACATGTTGTAGTGAACCTTTGTTATAGTAATGAACATGTTATTATAGTGAACCTCTTGTAGTGAACCTTTGTTATAGTAATGAACATGTTGTAGTGAACCTGTTGTAGTGAACCTTTGTTATAGTAATGAACATGTTGTAGTGAACCTTTGTTATAGTAATGAACATGTTATTATAGTGAACCTCTTGTAGTGAACCTTTGTTATAGTAATGAAGATGTTATTATAGTGAACCTCTTGTAGTGAACCTTTGTTATAGTAATGAACATGTTATTATAGTGAACCTCTTGTAGTGAACCTTTGTTATAGTAATGAACATGTTATTATAGTGAACCTCTTGTAGTGAACCTCTTTCTTGTAGTGAACCTTTGTTATAGTAATGAACATAAAGTTATTATAGTAACCATGGAATAGTGAACCTCTTGTAGTGAACCTTTGTTATAGTAATGAACATGTTATTATAGTGAACCTTTGTTATAGTAATGAACATGTTGTAGTGAACCTGTTGTAGTGAACCTTTGTTATGGTAATGAACATATTGTAGTGAACCTTTGTTATAGTAATGAACATGTTATTATAGTGAACCTCTTGTAGTGAACCTTTGTTATAGTAATGAACATGTTATTATAGTGAACCTCTTGTAGTGAACCTTTGTTATAGTAATGAACATGTTATTATAGTGAACCTGTTGTAGTGAACCTTTGTTATAGTAATGAACATATTATAGTGAACATGTTGTTGTGAACCTTTGTTACAGTAATGAACATGTTATTATAGTGAACATGTTGTAGTGAACCTCTGTAGTGAACCTTTGTTATAGTAATGAACATGCTATTATAGTGAACATGTTGTAGTGAACCTTTGTTATAGTAATGAACATGTTATTATAGTGAACCCTTGTAGTGAACTCGTCATAGTAATGAACATGTTATTATAGAACCTCTTGTAGTGAACCTTTGTTATAGTAATGAACATGTTATTATAGTGAACTCTGTAGTGAACCTTTTTGTTATAGTAATGAACATGTTATTATAGTGAACCCTTGTAGTGAACCTCTTGTAGAACCTTTGTTATAGTAATGAACATATATTATGTCTATGAATAGTGAACCTCTTGTAGTGAACCTTTGTTATAGTAATGAATATAAAGCTATTATAGTGAACCCTTGTAGTGAACCTTTTGTTATAGTAATGAACATGTTATTATAGTGAACCCTCTTGTAGTGAACCTTTGTTATAGTAAATGAACATATTATAGTGAACATGTTGTAGTGAACCTTTGTTATAGTAATGAACATGTTATTATAGTGAACCTCTTGTAGTGAACCTTTGTTATAGTAATGAACATGTTATTATAGTGAACCTCTTGTAGTGAACCTCTTGTAGTGAACCTTTGTTATAGTAATGATCATGTTACTATAGTGAACACGGAATAGTGAACCTCTTGTAGTGAACCTTTGTTATAGTAATGAACATGTTATAGTGAACATGTTGTAGTGAACATGTTGTAGTGAACCTTTGTTATAGTAATGAACATGTTATCCATAATATTAGAAACCTTCCATATGAAGAAAGACTGAAAAGCTTAGGCTTGCATTCATTAGAGAGGCGTAGAGTTAGGAGAGATATGATAGAGGTGTTCAAGTGGGTAAGTGGGATTAACAAGGGTAAAATGGAAGATGTTTTGAAGCTCAGTAATAACGAAATAACTAGAACAAATGGCTTTAAATTAGATAAATTCCGATTCAGAAAGGATATAGGCAAGCACTGGTTTGGTGATAGAGTTGTGGATATGTGGAATAGGCTACCGAGTGCTATTGTAGGATCGGGGACGCTAGGGAGCTTCAAGACGAAGTTGGATAGGCACATGGAAGTGCTGGGATGGGTGTGAAAGGGATCTGCCCTGTATGGGCCAGTCGGCCTCCTGCAGTATCCCACTTCTTATGTTCTTATGTTCTAAACGGGACTGCCCAGTATGGGCCAATAGGCCAGCTGCAGTTTCCTCCATTCTTATGTTCTTATGTTCTTATAACATTTAGTTTAGCTCATATTATCGACCCATTGTGTTCCCATAAATCTTCCTGTCTGTAATGAGGAAATCTCATATTAAGATATAGGTAGAATTTATAGTAGTAGGATTGTAAAGTGAAGAAAGTTGGTAGCGTGACTGAATAGTTAATCAATTGTTAATATTTTCATGGGAAAATCTTCTAAACAACAATTCTATGTACAGCTATTTACTAGTTAACTGAATGGCATGGACACATTAATAGATCATCATATTGACGTTACTAAACAATGACTCTCGGACATAAACATGAAATGGATACACTTCCCACCATTGCTCTGACGTGTGACCTGAGGGAGGTCCAGCAGCTGGGAACTCTGACTGCAGGGCCTGGTACTTCTGGGGCGAGTGGTCCCGGTGGGTGCTGGACTCTGTCACCTGTGGGAGACTCTGCCAGCTGGGGACTCAGTCATAGGAAGGGAAGTCCCCCTCCCGACCTCGACTTGTGATTGGTGTGACTCCGTCTGGCTTTGAGTTGTCTCTCCCTGTCAGACCTCTGGGAGAAGCTGTAGGCCTCTTATATTGGAGGTGTCAGGCTGGCAGATTGTCTCTTATTTATCACTAATTTGGGTGGGTCGGGACAGCTGTGTTTGATCCGGTGTGAGGTGCTTGGTGGGTCACTGGGTCATATCACTTACCGTGGTATGCCGGTCGGTAATGCTTCCTAATTATTACCAACATAGGTGTGTCTGGCCCAGTGTGCTTGGTCAGGTGTCTGTGTACTGGCTGGAGGGCAGTTTCTTGAATTAACAAGATCATGTCCCTTGGTCTCCCATCACATGGAGGCGAGAACTCCTTTTCCCTTCACGACACACACCTTGACCTTTGTTTGGTCAGGTCTTAATCTCACTTTAATTACTACTGTAGGGTGGATCAACTTATGTGGGTGTACACCTGCTCATCTAGTTATTGCTATATGTATTGTTCTTCTCTGTGCTGTATGCTTTGGTCTGATATAAAATCATTACATGTCCTTCTCCCATTAAAATCTTGCCTTAAACTTTGTGTAGAAGTTAGTGTAATCTTGTGAATTAATTGACGTTCATATAAGAACATAAGCACATAATAATGGGGGAAACTGCAGCGGACCTATTGGCCCATACTGGGCAATCCCATTTACACCCAACCCCTATTGCTCATATATCCATCCAACCTATGTTTGAAGCTATCCAGCGTATTCGAGTTACTTGTTCCACTCGTCCACTACTCTATTTCCAAACCAATGTTTACCTATTTCGCGCCTAAATCTAAATTTGTCTAATTTAAAACCATTGTTACGAGTTCGCTCCTGGTTGGATAGTTCGAGTACCTTTGTAATGGCAGAAGGGACCTTTATGCTAGGGATGGGGTGCACCTGTCTAGGGATGGAGTAGCAACCCTGGCTGAGGCTCTAGAGGGGGCAGTTCAAAAGATATCGAAGTCTTTAAACTGCTAGGAGAACATATGAGCACGGGGGTGGAGGAGACTGCAGTGGGAGCCGGTAAACAAAGTGAAAGATTACAGGGAAATAGTGTTAGGAATGATGACAAAACTGAATTAGACAGGGAGTTTAAAACTAAACGCGGAAAGGGGAGGACTCAGAACACGACTAACTTAAATGTATACTACGCAAACAGTAGAAGTATGAGAAACAAAATGGATGATATTAGGGCCTTGGTATGTACCGATAAAATCGATATAATTGCATTCACTGAAACATGGATCAACCTAGACACACGTGAATTACCAGTCGAATACCAAATTGCGGGTTACAAACTGTTCCATACCGATAGGCAGACCAGGAAAGGAGGCGGAGTAGCAATTTATGTTAGGGATAATCTGAAGTGTGAAATAAATAAGGAAATAAAAACTGAGAGGAATACAGAAACAATTTGGATAGAATTAAGCGACGGTCGGGAAAAATTAATCACAGGAGTAATATATAGACCCCCCAATCTTGATAGCGTCAATGAGCGACTTATCTGGGATGAAATGCGCAGGGCTTCCATACACAACAAAGTCTGTATAGTAGGCGACTTTAACTTTGGCCAAATAGATTGGACTGTCCTTACGGGTAACTTCAGAATCAGAGGATTTTCGAGACGCATCCAGGACTGCTCTCAAGTCAACATATATAACCCAACCCACACGGGTAATAATATACTGAGATCAGTTCTGTCGAACAGAGAAACCTCATTAGCAATGTCGAGGTAGGAACGAACTTGCAAAATATCACAAAGAAATCTGATTCCAGTTAGATTTTCAGGGCAGACGTAAGGAAAATTCCACTAAAGTACCAGATTTCAGAAGGGCAAACTTTGACAGTTTAAAGAGGCAGCTGAGAGAGGGGGTGTCGCGCTTGGCCGTGAACCTGACAGATGACACAGACCTGATAACGAGATCTGAGATTGCCGAGTTCCACGACAATTTAAATAGTGAGTTACTTAATGCACAAAGGCAGAACATACCATACAAAAAACTCAGATCAAACAACAATGACCCTAAATGGATTAATAATTATTTAAGGAACATCATTGGCCAAAGGAAGGCTATAGGTAGAAGGATAAATCATGGCAAAA